TAATTTATTTATTTTTGGTACTGGAGATTGAACTCAAGGGTACTTGACCACTGAGCCACATCCCTAGCCCTATTTTAATATTTTATTTAGAGACAGGGTCTCACTGAGTCGCTTAGTGTCTTGCCATTGCTGAGGCTGGCTTTGAACTCGCTATCCTCCCACCTTAGCCTCCCTAGCCACTGGGATTACAATTGTGCACCACCATGCCAGGCTTATTCTTTATTTTAAGACAGAGTTTTGTGAAGTTGTTCAGGGTCTCGCTAAGTTGCTGAGGCTGGCTCTGAACTTAGGATTCTCCTGCCTCAGTCTCCCCAGCCACTGGATTAGAGGCATGTGCCATTGTGTCTGGCCTGGCTATCTTTGTATTCAAATTGCTCAAGATTGGGGAAAGGCTCTTTAGCTGACTTTTGATATATCTCTATTTATTTCCAGGTTCATTTTGTATTTTCTGTGACCGGTCCTAGAATCAGCCATTTTTTCCAGGGATTAGTGTTTCCTTTTAGTTGAAGAATAGTTATTTAGAAGCCCAAGGTTTAAATATTAATATTTTACATCTATATTTATGTATTTTGATGACCATAGGTTCTCCAGAGTTTGTTCTAGATTTCTCTGTGTATTTTAATTCCCTTTTCTAATGTAAGAAAACTGATTTGAGGTTGTTTTTGTTGTTTTAATTTCAACACTTTGAAAAATATTTTCCCTTTGTCCTCTGTTTTTCACTGTTTATGGTGTGAAAAGCCTGTCGTTATTTATATCGTTGCTCCCAGTTATATAATATCCTTTTTTTTCTTTTATTTGACTATTTTCAAGATTTTGTCTTTGACACTGTTTATCAGCACTTCTTCGGGGGAGGTGGTTACTGGGATTGGCACTCAAACACTGAGCCACATCCCCAGACTTTTTTGTGATATATATATATATCATATATATATATATATATATATATATATATATATATATAAAATTTAGTTATACATGGACACAGTATCTTTATTTTGTTTATTTTTATGTGTTGCTGAGGATCAAACCCAGTGCCTCATATGTGCAAGGCAAGCACTCTGTTATTGAGCCACAACCCCAGCCCTTGTGTTTTATTTTGAGACAGGGTATCACTGAGTTGTTTAGGGCCTTGCTGAGTTGCTGAGGCTAACTTTGAACTTTCAATCCTCCTGCCTCAGCCTCCCAAGCCTATGGGATCATAGGCATGTGCTACCATGCCCACCGTTTTTTAGTATTTTTTATGATGTTGGAACTGGTATTTTCTTTGTATTTAATTTGCCTGGGTTTGCTGATCTTAGATCAGTAAAGTAAGCCAATGGTTTTCATTAAATTTGGGAAGTATTTGGGCACTATTTTAATAACTTTTTTGGTATTCCATTTCATTCTTGTCTCTCCTTGACTCAGTTACACATTTGATTATCAGAGATTGGACTGAGACTTATTTTTTCTTCTTCTTCCTTTCCTCTCTTTCAATTTATATCATTTTGACTGATCTTTTCTCAAATTCATTGTTCTTTTTTTTTTTTTTTAAATCTGTAGTTTAAAATCAGTGGCACTCAACCACTGAGTCACATCCCCAGCCCTATTTTATATTTTATTTAGAGACAGGGTCTCACTGAGTTGCTTAGCACCTCCGCCTCCCAAGCTGCTAGGAATACAGGTGTGTGCCACCATGCCTGGCTTATTGTCCTTTCTTCTGCCAACTCCAGTTTGCTTTTAAAGCCCATCCAGTGAATTATAAATTTTAAGTAATGTACTTTTAATCCTAGAATTTGTATTTGCTTCATTTTATGTTTTCATTTTTCTGCTAAAAATTGTCTTCTTTACCCATTACGATTATGTTTTTTAAGTCATCAAACATTTATTATAACTTCTTGTAGAGCCTTTAACTGCTAATTCTCACAACTGGGTCATCTCTGTCATTTTTAATTCCTTATTCTCTTGACTATAGTTTCCATTCACCTGCTTCTTCACAAGTCTAGTAATTTTTTGTGATATAGTAGATATTATAAATGATATGTTGCAAAATCTCTGTCTTATTTTATCTTCCTCTGATTCAGTTAGTAACTGATCACTGTAACCTTGTGGGGGCTTGGTTTTATATTTGATAAGGTCAGGGGTATTTTGGTTTTACCCATACTACTAAAGCAGATCCCTTAGTCCTAAAATATACTATTTAATCTCGATTTATAGTCTTTCTGAGTTTTGATAGAAAGTTTGAAATATTTATTATGTGCCTCTAACTTGGTAGGAATTCTAAACTCTGTATCTCCTCATGGGCAGCAACAGGGAGTTTCTGCTCAGATCTAGTCAGCTTTTTCATTTCTGGTACCAAAAGACCTGACAAGAACAATTTTAGAGGAGCAAAAGTTTATTTGGTGATCACAGTTTCAGAGGTCTCAGTCCACAGATAGCTGACTCCATTGCTCTGGGCCTGAGATTACACACACACACACACACACACTCTGCAAAGGCATGTCCCCCCAGGTCCTATTTGCTCCATCCACATCCTGCCTGCCTATATACAATTAGGTGGATTAACACACTGATTTAGATTAAGGCTCTTATAACCCAATCATTTCACCTCTAAATGGTCTTATATTATCTCATACATGAGTTTTTGAGGGATACCTCATATCTAAACCATAACAACTATGGATTCTAGGGAGGTAAATGTGTATTTTTTTGAGGCTTCCTTCTTCCCCTATGGTTCTCTTTCCTTTCTGAAATTTCTTTTCTCAATTGCCAGCCACTGTGTGGCAGCTCTGAACTTTGTCCTTTTGATACCTCAAGCCAGTAGACTGTGGCTTTTTAGTTGAATTTTAGTGGATTGGTAAATTCTTTCAGGGGAAAAGCACATCTCATCTACTGTGGTTCCTTTCAAGACCACTCTGTCCTTCCCCTAATTTCTCTGTACATTTTAATTCCATTCCCAGTGTGTTTACATTGTTTTAAAATATTTCCCATAGTTTATAATTATTATATGGGGAAAGTTAATCTAATATAAACATTTTTGCCAGGATTATAACCAGAACACTCTGTCTTAAAGTTTTATTTTATTCAGTACATACTGATTGTTTCACAAATGTCTTTTTAAAGCTGTAGGTTGCATTTAAAAATATGTATGCCTATACAGTAAATGTTTGTTGTATTAGCACTACAAAGAAAATACTGAACCTTGAGCCTAGAATATATTTATATCAATAGTCCCTATTTATACACTAATTTCAGATGCTCAATTTTTAAAATGTGTTTTGAAGTAATTTCAACTTATATAAGAATAAAACAAATGGATAAATTTTTAAAGTTTAATTTGCTTAAAAAGAAAACTAATTTTATTATATTGATGAGAGCTATATATATCCAGTAATTTTTGTTTTTCTCTTCTCCTTTCTTAAGTGGGGATTGAACCCAGGGGCAGGGTCTTGCAAGTTTATAAGGGTATTGCTAAACTGCTGAGGCTGTCCTCCAACTCAAAATCCTTCTTTCTCAGACTCCCAAGTCACTGGGATTACAGACAGATGCCACCACACTTGGCTAATTTTTCTCCATTAAAAATAATTATTTTGTCTTCCTATTCTCTTTCCATAGAATGATAAATGAATTTTTTTAAGTATGTATGTGTCCAGGGTGATATAATGAAGTGAGTAAATAAATGGCAGAAGATGTCACAAGTCTTCCTGATAGAAGAATGCTGATGAATAATGTAGAAGGAAGGAGACATTTTAAAATTTACCACTAGAACACCACAGTAAAAATTACCATAGGCAAGATCCACCAGTGAATACTAGAATGATCAGGCAAAAGTTGATGTAGAAACAGAATATTTGCATAAGCTCAAAATATTTCTCCTGATATATTTAGTAATTTCTGCAAGATAAACATTAAGTTTACAATGGATACTCTTTGCAGACATGACCACAGCCAAGTAATCCCTTAATTTCAACATAAACATTTATACTACTGTTTTTCTAAGACAGTTCTCAGGACCAGCAGCATTAATATCAACTGGGGACCTGTTACAAATGCAAATTCTCAGAAGCTCTGGAGAGGGGACTTAGCAATCTGTATTTCAGTAAGTCCTCCATGTGATTCTGATGTACATGGAAGCTTGAGAACCATGATTTATACTATCAGTAAAAAACTGAAGATTGAAAGGAAACCTAATATATTTGGCTAGTTATTAATAATGAGTTTTCCAGCAGCTTGGAGGTTGAGACAGGAGACTCTCAAGTTCAAAGCCAGCCTCAGCAAAAGTGAGGCGCTAAGCAACTCAGCGAGACCCTGTCTCTCAATAAAATACAAAATAGGGCTGGGGATGTGGTTCAGTTGCTGAGTGTACCTGAGTTCAATTCCTGTGCCAATAATAATAATAATAATAATAATAATTGCTTGCCATAAATATGACGGAAGTATAACCAATAATTTTAATCTATTTCCTATAGTTCATTCTATTTTATCTCATAGGGCTACCAGGTACTATGAGATACTATTATTGAATCTAGAATCTCTTTTAATTTTATTTTTCTGAATATTTCCAAAAAATTTGATCAGTTGTTCTGAATAAGAAACGAATCCTGTTGCCCCTTTCAGGATTTTTGTTTGTTTGTTTGTTTGTAGTGCTAGGGATCAAACACATCCTTTCAGGTCTGGACCCTTTTGAAAGTTTATCTTAGACCAGTTATTGTTATTTTAAACAGAACTAAGTTCTTAAATTTTGCGTTTAAAAGATGCTATGTAACCATTATCACCACCTTCCATACCCAAAGTGAAGCCACTGCCACTCACATACTTATTTATGGGTACATTGTTGACTTTTATGGGGTCTCACTTTGTGTCTTTCTTTAGCTTGTCCTTCAACTCCCATAAGTCTGGAATTTACAAATAAATAAAATCTATTGGTGTGTTGATTTTGAGAAATAGAGCAGAATTTGACAACTATATATGGTAATATTTCAATATTTCAAAAACTGAACTTTTCTAAAAAATTTTCTTTATAGACTTATAACAGCTGTGCCAGACTCTGCTTAAACCAAGAAACAGTATGTTTAGCAAATACTGCTATGAAGACTGAAAATTGTGTGGCCAAAGTAAGTAATAATACTCACTGATACTTATTATACCACGTCATAACAATACCATGTCTATAGGCATCTTAACTCAGCATGACTAGTAAAGATTAATATAGGCTTATATATTTAAAATAAGAATACAAATAAACATCATTTTAGCCAGAGGAGATTGTAGATTGGCTTTTCCACCTCTTTTTTTTTTTTAATACCTTTATTTATTTATTTATTTATTTTTTAGTTGTAGTTGGACACAATACCTTTATTTTATTTATTTTTATGTGGTGCTGAGGATCAAACTTAGTGCCTTGCACGTGCTAGGCAAGCACTCTACCACTGAGCCACAACCCAGCCCATCCACCTCTTTAATTGCAACAGAATCTTTTATGTATTTTGCTCACACTTTAGATTGATTCACATTTTGCTTGACACTAGTTATAGATTATCAGAGATCAGTAAGATTTGTATAAGATAGTTATTTGTATAAGATAATAATTATAAGATATAATTATTTTTATAAATTAAGTTCCTTCATGATTTTTAAATGCAATTAAGTATAGAGTACCAAATATATATATAGGACATCATTGTTAAGAATGTGAAATATGTGATAGAAAAAACAATTGTTATGTCACTACTTTTAAATATTGAGTTACTAATGTTAGAAACACTGCTTTTAATGATCTTGATCTGAGTGGACAAGTGGATTTAGTCATGCATATGGGCTACCTCTTTCATGTATAAATATGTGCCATAGCTATAGTCTAGATACAAAAATAATCTTAACTGTTAAGAGATCTGAAGCTTTCCCTGTCTGCCTTGGCTCACATTTTCCACGTATCTCTAATTACCCTGGATCTTTGACTTAAACCCAAATGTCAAGTATTTTGTTTTTCCTGGGAATAATTAATATTCAGAATAGTCTCTGTTTCTAGACTTGTATTTTACAAAAATAATGCCTTGCAACCACTTAGGAATTTGTTGTTGCTGCAACTATCCAAAGTTTATTTGGATACATGCAGACCCTCAATTACTTACTTTTACTGTTAGAGACAGAACTGATGTCAGCTTTGCTACAAAATCCAAGGATAGCTGCCTTAATCCTTTCAGACTGCTATAACAAAAACACCATAAACTTGGGTGGCTTTTAAACAACAGTAATTTATTTCTTACAATTCTAGAGGCTAGGAAGTCAAATATCAAGGTAACAGTAGATTTGATGTCTCGTGAGGGTTCATTCTACTTCATAGATGGAATTTTTTTGCTGTATCCTCACATAATGGAAGGGATTAAGTGAACTCTGGGGTATGTGTAACTCTCACTCTCTCTCTGTTCTCTTTCTTTTGTGCTCTCTCTCTGCCCCTTAAGCCAAAGGCTCTATTCTCATGAATTTGGGGATGGTACAAAATTCAGACCAGCCATGTGCAGTGGTGCATGCCTATAGTCCCAGAGGCTCTGGAGGCTGAGACAGGAAGGTTGCAAGTTCAAAACCAGGCTCAGCAACTTAGTGAGGTCCTAAGCAACTCAGTGAGAGACTGTCTCTAAATAAAGTACAAAAATGAACTGGGGATGTGGCTCAGTGGTCGAGTGTCCCTGAGTTCAATCCCTGCCTAGTATCCCCCCACCCAGACCCCCCCCCAAAAAAAACCCCACAACATTCAGACCATAGTAATGGCAATATTTTTTATTAGTTTTATTTTTTTTAAACATGCATTCATTTTTGAGCCTATTTTATTAACTGAAAATATATCATACAAAACATAACCATTGGAATAACTCTTAAGAAATGCAAAATATTTATTATTATAGTTATAAAAGAGTTCATCAGTTAAATGCTTAAATTCAACTGTCTTAATAATTTGCTATTATAAATTGCATATATTTATTTTTTCAGTCATTCACAACTAGCAAGTGCTAATTGACCCTGTTTTTTATTCAGCATTTGAGTATGTAGGGGTACAATTATTTGGGCCTTTAAAAGATAATCTTTCTCCTATGTTGCCATACTGCTCTCACTTTCACCACAAGATGGCTAAACAAGGCAAAGTCTTAGTATGAACACCAACCCATGGACAGAGTGACAATTTTAATGACTTTCATTGAGAGCTGGCCAACTGAGCATCTGTTCCTTTTGTTTTCCTCATACTTTGTAAGCCAGGATTTCTTAGGCTACGTAGTTATGTTGGTGTGTATCTGTATTATGAGTCATTTGTTTGGTTTTTCACACCCTCTACTTCAGTGTTGCATAGCTAGAAATCTTTTGGCATCTGACAATAATGGCATAATTTATTCCATGTTCTTAGATAAGGAAGTTTGCTCATTGCTGCTCATTAGTCTGTTTTACTTGCTTCCAGAGAAGTGACCTTCTCATCCTCTTCTTGCTTATTTTAACATTACTCTGACACCAATTTTCTTTCATTTTCTCTTTAAATGCTCTAATTCAATAATTTCTCTAATTTCATATTGTCAACCATCTAACTTCCTGGTTCTTTCTGTTGGCCCACGTCCTGTCTTCTGGTTCATTGCTTTGTATTTGAGCCAAATAATCACTTGATCAATGGTAAATAAAAACGTGTAGCTGAAAAAAATGTGTTCATCACAACAGCCTTCAATGAAGTTTTTCCTTTTATTTTACATACGTTATATACTATTTCTGTTGACCTCATTTATTGCTTGACTTTTGAAAGAGATGACTTGCCATTATTTTTGTAGGTCTGCAAGCTTGTCCCTATTTTCTATTCTTCACCTTTTACCCTTAACTGAATATTTTCATCTGCTACATTTTGATATGGCTGCAGATTTCTTTTTGTTAGTTTTGTTTTTTAACTCGGTACAAGTGTCTGTTGTTGATTCAGATTGTGCTCCAATGTGTCTGAATGTCTAGCCATTTCCACGTGATACAATGATACCAACCCTTTTGTCCAGAAGTTCAAAACAACTGAATTCTAATGTGCATATCAACTTTTTTTAAAAAAATATTTTTATTTTTTAGTTGTAGATGGACACAATGTCTTTATTTTATTTTTTATGTGGTGTTGAGGATCGAACCCAGGGCCTTGCACGTGCTAGGTGAACACTCTAGCCACACTAGAGTCACAACCCTAGCCCATAACTTTTTTTTTTTTTCCTAGCCCATAACTTTTAAAAAATAAAAGCTATTTTAAAGATAAAAACTAATACCAAACCCCCCTCCCCCCCTCAAAAAAAGGGGAAACAATTCTGATCAGAGTGATTTTGATTTGGGTAGAAATTCTAATTAATAGTCCAAAACTTTATTATTGAGTGTTGTTTATGTGAGTTTTAGAGACAACTTCAATGCCAGTTATTTCCTCAAAAGCAGAAAGCTTATGTTCAGATCCCCATTAGGATATTTTATATAACTCTTCTTTGCCAGAAATCTTAGTCACACTATAGCTCTATAAAGTGGGTACCTACTACTTCTCTTTAGAGTATAAGACAACATCTGTAAGACAAACTAAGCCACCCTAGGCTGACAGTGATCTTCTAAATCTTTAATTTGAAGAGGTCTTGGAAAACATTTAAAAATAAAAATGGGGAGGTCATTTTATCAATGTAACAATTCAGCTAATATTTAGAGACACTGAAATGTCTTTTAAATTTTTTTCAAAAACCTTTCTCCTGATTATAACCCTGTAGTTTATGAGATTTGTGTTTGGGACATGGTGAGTTCTATATTTACTGTAGTTTTAAATGAATTGTCATTATTGTCTGTCAGCTTAGTCTTTAAAATCCATAATCACATTGTACCTAATTCTCAACCTGCATGATATTTTTCATTATTAAAGAAAACTAACTGGAAAACTGGAACATTAATTGTTTATGTTATCTCTTTACTGGATTTATTGAAATACTATTGAAATTTTTGGTTATAGGTTACTCTTGAGGGTTTACCCTTATACATACCCACACATATATCACAAACACATAAAAAATTAGTTGTTTGAATTCATCTACTTTGATTCTTGGCCCAGATAGAAGTTTTGTCTCTCTATATTTTGAAAATAAGCCTTTGTAGTCCCATGTAAATGTTCTATATTTTTTTGTTGTTTGTTGTTGTTGTTTTACTTGAGACTAATAATCTGTTTGAAACTGAGACTGAAAAATGTGATGTTCCTTTCTACTCACTCCAGATTTTGATAGAAGACTTGTTTTATTTATTTCCAAAATTATATCCGCAGGAAACAAGCTGTTTAAATTCAGATTATGCTGAAGCAAAATGGTCCTGGTATGAGAAGCAACGTGCTGTTTTACGAGCACAGAGTCCCTTTTCTCATAACTGATTGATAGTAAATATTTTCCTGAAGAATTATTGCCAACCATGAACAGTGCAACTGTTTCACTTTTTTTTGTGCTACTTGCTGTACCAGCCATTGTCGGTAATTAAGATCTACAATTCACAATGCAGACGTTTGCACTTCCTCTGGGTCTGTGCTATTTATAAGGCATTTCAGCTGTTCAGAGTTTCTTTTGAGTTTTAAACTACATGTTAACAGGCTTCTTTAATATACTGTTCCACAAGTAGCATGTCAGATGGTCTGTTCTTCGCACAGGCGACTCGGTTAGGTCTACACATTAGCTTTGCAGGGGATCGCAGTAAGATTTAACTGTATCATAGAGGCTGACATGGTTGGGAAAGCTCTGGAGTGCAATATGTTACATATTAGGCATATTGCTGTTTTAAAAAGATGAGAATGAAGTTTGGGAATAAATTTTTTTTTCTTTGGTGTTCAAATGTTTATATGAATTTAATGTGTTAATTGATTTACAGAGGTTTGAGAAATATTTAACAAAGTGATTTCCCAAGGTCATTTTGAGTTAATAAGAGAAGCAAGGACTATCTTCATATGGACAAGAGTATGTGTTTGTCGGATTAAGGATGTAAAAATATACTTCCTTCTACATGGGCATGATATTTAAGACATGGGGTACCAAAATGGATCAGCAGATTGACTGCACATTTGTTGTGTAATCAGCTTTGGAACCCTAAGTAGCATATGCCA